CTCAGGTACAGGTGTGCAGTATCCTGACCCCAGCTCACCTGCGGCTCAGGTACAGGTGTGCAGTATCCTGACCCCAGCTCACCTGCGGCTCAGGTCCAGGTGTGCTGTATCCCGACCCCAGCTCACCTGCGGCTCTTGCTGTCCATCTGGCTGTCCGCGCTGGCGTGCAGTCGAGGAAAGAGCCCTGAGCGCCTCTTCACCGGACTCTTCAGGGGGCTCTTGGCTGACAGGACGGGCGGCTGGAACACACAGCACAGGTGTCACTGCACAGCTGTCCCCTCCGGCAGCGCTCTGAGAGCAGTTGTAAAACCCTTCCAGCCCTTCCACTCTCTTCTCACGGGCTTATCCTCTGACTCCAGGTAGCGCACTGACTCCTGTGACACACAAACACCTCCTGCCTTTTTGGGCACACCTTTCAAACTGGTCTTCACTGTGATACAGAGGCTGAGCAGGAAGGGGGAAACTAGCTGGATCCATACCGCACGGCACTGATCCCAGGATGCCCCGGTTCCCCGGCCCCCCGGCCCCCCCTCACCGTGAAGGTGCTCTTGGTGCACTCGTTGCTGCTCTGCGGGATCACCCCACTCAGGCTGCCTGGCACCCCTCCGCCGTGCTGCTTTCTGTGGGAGCCCACCATCGTCTCCATGGAGTGACTGCGCACTCGCATCGCCCGCTGCCACAGAGAGGGAGAGAGGGGACTTCAACACCTCTAAAGCAAAAGACATACTGTATGTCTCCAAGATCCATCCATGACAGTGTTTCTGCGTAGACCAGCTCACAAATACCTTGATTTGTTCAATGATGTATATTTTCATTAAAGAGTGAGGGGTTCTTTAGAGCTACTGTACAATGCAACTGATCTGTAATCCCAGTATGTGACTAAAAAAACAATCCAACAGCCAAGAGCAGGTAGTAGCACACCAGGCACCTCCCAGAGCTGCTACAGCAAAGTGTCTCAACATGCTGGCACTACAGCAGACTCCAGTCCACCCAGACGCTGCTATAGGGTCTGTCACGTTTGCAGATGCTTGAAAAACAGGTGGAATCGCAAAGAGTTCACAGCAGCACAAGCTATTCCGGAGCGCTGGGCAGACACCTGGCAAACATAAACTGACATGGAGAAGCACAGAGGGTTTCATGAGGGAGGCAAGAACTGGAACACTGAACTGGAAGCAGCAAACTTGAGAGTGGGATCTAGGTGGTCATGTAGACTCACCTTGTTTCATCAGCTAGAGAGAAGCAATAAAAAGCAACAGAACGCTGCAATCTGTTCTCGTGAAAGTAGAATTGAAATGAAAGGGAGTCATGATAACAATATGACATTTGTTAAACCTCACTCTGAATAGAGTGTGAGATTTGTGGTCGTCACGTTACACAGAGGCTGAGGCTTTGCCTAGGAGCACAAGCTGACTTAATCTTATTCTAAAGAGAACGTCATACTCAGATAGGCTCAAGAACAGAATCTCTCCAGCCTGGAAAACAGACAGATTAAGTAGCGACTTGATTCAGTGAGTCAAAATCCTGAAAGTCTCTCACCAAGTCATTTCAGGGCATTTCTACAGCACCAACAAAAGAACACATAGACATATGGAAATTGAGTTTAGGGACACATGAGACAACAAAAGAGGAGACACCTTTACCGAGAGGATCGTGGGATATGCCTCTTTACCTCAAGTTCATCGGGTCCTTTAAGACAGAATCTGAATTCTTCGTTCTTTAGACTTCAGATTTACTAGTAACCACATGGGCTCGAAGGGAATTTTTTCTCAAATTCCTGTAGGTCAGAGGTCACCACTGCTGGAACTGGAGAGCCCCAGCCCAGTTACTCTTATAGTTCACTCTAAATCAGAGTGTCTCCACTTACACCTAACAGTTCAATTAAGAGAACTCTGGTCCTTGAAGGCTGAAGAGAACTTAGATCTTAGTTCCAAGTGATTTGTAAATTACTTGAAACAAAATTACAAACAAATCCTGAGAAACTGCTGGTTTTGAGGGTGTCCTGGAAAACCTGCTGGACTGATGTTCTCCAGGCCAGGTTGGAGGTTTAAGGTTTCTTTTCTCTGGCTGAGAAGAAGAGGGGATTTAAATCCCTTTTGTTATGAGCAGTTTATTTGATCAGAATGACCTCACACACCAGGCAAATAAATAGCAGTCCATAAGCATCACCCTACTTTGGGTTAAATGTTCATTTCACAATAACAGCGATTAGCCTGTTACTGAAATCAAAGCTCATCCCGAACCGACAGGAAGTGTGCCGAATCTTGTTTGCAGTTTTGCTAGATCTTGAAAAGCCTCACCTCCATTCTAGTGGTATCAGCCTGCCTTCATGTGGTTCTGCCTGGTCACTGAGCACTGCACAACACCGCACGACCAGCATATTCTTTGTGGATTACTATTCATATACTGTACACACGCTTTCAAACACATGAACACCAACAGGGAAAGCCAGCACTGTTTAGGTAATATGACTTTGTATATGAATATGGTTAGGTCTGCCTGTGGTGTTTCAAAGTGGCTGAGAAAAGCCTAGCTGTGTCCCTGATGGATAAGAGGGCGTGTGGAGTCCAGTGCTGCCTCATTCTTGCTGGGCTACTGAACAGCTGTTCATCAGAGCAGACTGACCAGAATGGCGGTCCATTGCAATTGGACCTCCTGGGTGACTGTGGGAAGGTTGTGAGCACACTGACGTATTGCATCAACCTCTAGTCAAGAGCTTCCTCAAATCGGACTTTGCTCCAGGATGTAAAATTTAATTAATTTCATTCCTGGCCATATGTTCAGAGTGATGCATACTGCGCTCTTTTAAACTAACCATATAATGTGAACGCATTAGGTGCTGTAGTAAAAGCATGAGGTGTAGCTTAGAACTGAAACAAAAAAGATCATAAAGATATAATTAATTCCAAGCGCTCTTGCACAGTTGTGAAAATCCAGCGCAAAGACATAGTGGTTAATCTCATCCGCCAACACCATTCGCATCATCGTCCTGTGCAAGGCCGGCAGGAAAAAAAAAGAGAGTGAATCAAACTTAAATGAAAAGTGCATGCAAACGTTTATTTGTTATCTATTTAATCATGAAATCGGTTGACAACAAAAGTCGCAAAGCATAGTAAAGTCCAACAGCCAGTGCGCAGGCCAGCACAGCTCTCAGGTTATTGACGTCTGCGAGCCCCACGCTCACTCTCCTCAGCAGAGGGGCTGTCGCTGCCTGCAAACATCAAGGGAACCAGACAGCCATGGTGAGAATCTGTGCAACACCAGAGGCACAGCTTCATCACAATATGCTTCACCCGCACCATAAGACTGATTCTTACTACACGTGCCTGTGTTGGTGAAGAAAGACTCAGGGGGTGAGTGTATCTGACAAAACAGCAGCCACAGTCATAGTCTCCTCTCACTGCGGATCACTCCTGCATCAGCCTCGCACCTCTCACACAGGGCTCCCCTCATGCAAGGAGACTGCTGAACACTGGCCAGTGAAGAGCACCACTGAATCCCAGCTCCAGTGAAGACAAGCAGAGAGCGTAGAGGGCTGACCAGCCACGTCAGTGTCCTCACAGTAAAAGTGTCCGAACACAATGCACCTGTTGGCCTGGCACAGAAGACACAGAGGACCTGTGTACCAGGACAGGACTGTCAGTTAATGCAGTGCGATGGCTGCAGGTGGAGGGGGAGGGGGAGGGGAACAGGATTGCGAAATAAGGGCTAGCCCTACCTTGAAGGACTCCAGGAGGCCACCGTGGCTACCGTTCTCCATCCTGTCGTCGTCTGAGCCGAGCCCCAGCATGGCCTGAGTCTGCCGGTGCAGCTCGTCGTGCAGGTTGTCGAGCAGCGCCGCCCGTGTCCGCCCCTGCAGAGAGCCAGCCAGGAGCGAGAGGTGAGACGACCGCGCGCCGCGGTTCTCGTGGGGAGGGGGATCTGCAGACACGCAGCCAGAGGAGGGGGGGGAGGGGGGGGGCGGGTTGCAGAGACCAACAGTAAAAGATCCCCCTGCGTGCATTACAGCTTGCCTCCCGTGCTCTCAATTTCTCTCCACGTAAGCGTGCTTTCCACATGCTCAGCCCAGTCAAAAGCAGGGTTAAGCTTTTAAAAAGGGAAACGGGTTCGAGAAAGATGGCAGCGAGGACGAGGAGGGAGACAGAAACAACGCACGTGGAGGCAAACTGCTCCATCCTCACCTCCAGCTTGGCAAACTTGTCTGACTTGTAGCAGGCGTTTTCAGCATTGATGAGCTTCGTGAGCAGGAACTCCCGGAACTCAGGACCCTGGAGAAAAGCCCCATTTCAGTTCGACACTCGTTACAGCCCCAGCCGTCCGTCACCAAGCAATAAGTGTGACAACAATAGCCTAATTCTGAATGTTAAAAAAAACTAAAGAAATAGTTTTCGAGCCCAGAGCAGCTGGTGATCACTCACAGGTAGTAATCCACAACGAAATTAGCACTCAGGTCGATTCATATTAGTACTTAGGAGTACACATAGACCGTAACCTGTGCTGGTCTACTCAGGTTGAGAGTGTTTGCTCCAAAGATCAGCAGAGCTTCTATTTCCTGCGAAGACTGAGAGTGTTTGGGGTTCGAACAGGAAGTAATGCTACTCTTTTACCGTGCTGTAATCGAGAGCATTATCAGGTATGGTATTTCAGTGTGGTTTGGTCATCTAGCAGTTCATTTTAAATCGCAAATGACCCGCCTCATCCAGACAGCTTTGAAGGTCATGGGAGTGAAACAGCACCCCTCCCTGCAGACAATCTTTGGAAAAATCCCTAATCAAACAGGCAGGAAAAATTATTTCAGATCCTTCCCACATCCTCAACTCTGAATCTCAACTTCTTCCTTCTGGGAAACGTTTTAGGGTTCCCAAATGTAAGTCAAGCAGGTACAACCATTCCTGTGTTCCACTCTCCATTAAAGCTGTCAACGCAAATGTCAAGGATAAACTCAATTTTGACTCTTACAACCCACTCGAGTTCAACATGTTTTGTGATGTGTTATAAATGTTACGTCATGTTGTTATGTGTTATACTGTCCATGTGCAATCGAACGATGTGCAATGTTTTTCTTATTTTTTGTAATAGAATAATGTGCAATGTTTTGCATTCTATTTAAATGTACAGGAGTGCTGGCCGTCCATAAAAAATTTCCCTTAGGGAACAATAAAAATCTTATCTTATTTAAGCCTCACAGTGAGACTCAGATACCCAACAGCACAGGAAGCACTGTCTTTTGGTCACATGCATTAACCTCTCACTGTACTCCTGTGGACAATCTGGCATGAATATGAGGTGAAGACTTAAAGGTCACACTGATCTTAGATCCCATCCCCTATATCACAGCAGATGACAGCAGCCTGGGGTTCCCAGGGTTCATACCTTCTTGAATACAGGTGGGTTGGGCAGGGGCGGGCCGAAGGAAGGTACATCCTCCCTCGCAGTGACTGACACCTGTCAATCACACAGGAACAAGGTGTTAAAATTCATGAAGGTGGGAAACAGTCCTTCCGCATAGGGCACTTGCAGAACTGCTGTTTTTCAGGAAAGAAAACAATGCTAAAAGGCTACAATGCAGAAACCCTTACTTCACCGCTGGTCTGCCCTTGATGTCTTTCGCCAGCCAATCAATAAGCTGCCTTCGTTTTGGAATTCAGAGGTTTCATTCAGCAGGTACGTGATTGTCATTGTTAGCACATCTCCTGCAGAATCAGGCAGGAGGAGTCAGGGGAGGCAGGTGCAGGAGCTAAAGAGCTACAGCTAATCAATGACATTGTGCTGCAGGTATCTTGTCCTTGTCTGCCCCAGGAGCTGCTGCAAGTCACCCCATCAGCAACTAGGTGGGCCAGGCACGGAGCAGAACACCTGAGCAGCAGGGGCAGGGACAGAGGGGAAGGGCTCGTACAAGGACAACCAACAGAGCTCTCTGCAAAGGGAACTTCTGTCCAGATGCAAGGGGCCAGATCATCTCCTCACACTATCAGTGAGATCCTCGAAAGATCACTACAGCTTTCTCCTTTCCTGGTAGATTTCCATCTGACAATGGCATTGTTTCTGAACCTGCAGCTCTTTGCAAAGACATTTATAAGCCACAAGCTATCAGTCTGATGCACACACGGCAGGACATGGCTATGTGGGCAGCAGGGCCTCTTGTAGGGACTCACTAGCAGTTGGCATTAGCAGTCCAGCTGACCTCGTCAATTACAGACTTCACGGTTTTGGATTCCTAATGAACACTCACATGTTTTGGACCCGAAGCACTGAGGGCATTCCATAATGGAATGGAGTGGTGGCTCTGTGGCTCAGGATCTGCGCCTGTGGCTGGAAGGTTGCCGGTTCAAATCTCGTGGCCGGCAGAGGAATCCTACTCGGATGGGCCCCTGAGCAAGGCCCTTAACCCTTGCTGCTCCAGGGGCGCTGTATAAATGGCTGACCCTGTGCTCTGACCCCCAGCTTCTCTCCCTGTCTGTGTGTCTCATGGAGAGCAAGCTGGGGTATGTGAAAAGACACATTCCTAATGCAAGAAATTGTATATGACCAATAAAGTGATCTGATCTTATAAACAAACTTTCCAATTCGTCTTTGAGAAGTTGGGAAGGGAAAGGCCTGTGCAGAGCGTCCGAGAGTCCCCCAGGGTGGAGGGAGAAGGTAGGGACAGGCCGCAGATGTTAAGTCCATTAAAAAAAGATGGATTCTCAGCCCAGCCCTGGGGAAGAAGGGAGATGGTACAGTACCTTGTAGGTGGTGTGGTCTGTGCAGGGGTTTTCCACCTGGACCACGATGTAGGCATGCAAGAAGTTGGAGGCGATCATGTCAGGAACAAAGGGTGTGTTTTCCTCCTGGAAGACGGCCGCCACGATGTCGTTCCCAATGTGGCGCTTCCTCTGTAGCTGGAGAGAAGCAGGAGGGATTTGTGAAGAAACAACACAGAGAACGCACGAGGACGATGCTTGATGTGATGCATCACTGGATAAAGGCATGGAGAAGAGGTGCCACACTTCAACCCCGCCCCCACGGATGCCCTCCGGCTTCAGCCTGGGGAGTACCTGCTGTGCGTCGCCCTCTGTGTAGGGCAGCTTCGTGGAGATGTGGAACATGATCTCTTTCTCCCTGAAGACTGTGTACACGGAGTCCGTCCCTGTCTGGCCATGCGCCACGTCCAGCCCGCCCCGGAACCTGCAGCAGGCAGAAAGAGCAAGGGCTTTGTTCACAGAGCGCTGACTGAGGGGTCACAGGTCACCCCCTCTTTCCCCCAGGTCACAGGTCACAGGTCACTTGCTCCTTCCCCCCAGGTCAGAGGTAACGCCCTCTTTCTCCCCAGGTCACAGGTCACCCCTTCCATCTCCTAGGGAACAGGTCACTCACTTCTTACCCCCAGGTCAAAGGTCACTCACTCCTTCCCTCAGGTCACAGGTCGCCCCCTCTTTCCCCAGATCACGGGTCACTTGCTCCTTCCCCCCAGGTCAGAGGTCACCCCCTCTAACCCCCAGGTCACCGGTCACCCCCTCTTTCCCACCAGGTCACAGGTCACTCGCCCCTTTCCCCCAGATCACAGGTCACCCCCTCTTTCCCCAGATCACAGGTCACTTGCTCCTTCCCCCCAGGTCAGAGGTCACCCCCTCTATCCCCAAGGTCACAGGTCACTCACTCCTTACCCCCAGGTCAGAGGTCACACCCTCTTTCCCCCGAGTTCACAGGTCACCCCCTCTTTCCCGCCAGGTCACAGGTCACTCGCCCCTTTCCCTCAGATCACAGGTCACCCCCTCTTTCCCCACAGGGAGGGAATGACACTGTAGTGTTTGTAAGTGTCCCAACAGGAGCCTCCCATGTCTTTTTCCTGTATGGGGATTTCTTCTGCCAAAGATGCTTTGTATCACTGAAACGCCCCCTGGCTGTGACACCTGTTGTCCACGCTTCACAGGAAGCCTCTCCCCGTACGAGGCACCAGGAATAGACACCAGGAATGTGTGAGGTCTACACTCACAGCAGTTCAGAAAATTAAGATGGTAAAGAAATCGGCATGATTTAAAAAGCTTTCCGTCCATTCACATTAAGTGTTCAGAGTAACTGTGCCTCAGACATGCAACTATATGGAGCTCAGATAAAGCTCTATGTCCCAGGGGTTGTTGTTTCGAGTCTGAGTCGTGTCACCAGTCACCTGGGACTGGGATTTCTCCAGCTGTGGTTCTCTGCTGTCTCAAGGCTGCCAGGCTGGGATTAATCAGCCCCAGTTCTCTCAGCTCCAGGTGAACAGAGACATGTAGAGGTTCTTAAATTCAGAGTAATAAAAAATTACATATACCCCCCCCCCCCCAACACCACCACTCTTCTCAGTCTCTAATTAAGCACTGTGACAGATTGCACCCAGAGCCATGTTCTCATTTCTGTGTTGACCTGTCCCCCTGGGAGCAGGTGATGATGCATTTCCTGTGTGTTTCCACTGTTCCCTGTCAGGACTGTCTGATAAACCCCGTCTGCTGTCACCATGGCGATTGCAGCTGCTCTGAGCTCTGTATTGGCTTGTGCAAATGTTCGCTCACACCTTTGTGCACATGGATCTCTGAGGACTGACCCTGCACTGACAGCAGGTCCCACTCACCTGCAGAATTACTCCTCTCCTGTTCTCATTTCTTTAAAGCAACAAAATACTGATCAACTGGCATCTTTGTACAAAGGGACAAGAAAGAGCTCTTATTATCTGCTCATTACTGTATCATTCTAAACTTGTATTCAACTCATGTTTGCAGCATCGTTTCTAAATCTGAGCTGTAGGCAGAAACATACAGTGTCTGTTCTTTTTTTATCCTAATACCAAGAGCAGAATAACATGTGCTGTATTGCTGCTTCATAGCACAGTATAAAGCTGCGTTTGTCTGGATTTCACGGTGAATTTAAACAGAGATGATAACAAAGAGGTTTGAAGGAAAACCCTAATGTTACTGAAAATGTTGACTGAACTGACTGGGGCAGGAACACAGCAGGACATCACATTTTTACCAAAGGGTGGTGGGTGTCTTGAACAGGCTTCTTCTCTTCTAGATTTAAATATGAAATACACACAGTAATAATCTGACTCACAGCAACACCAACAGTCAGCAAGAGTCATTCATATTCAGGCAGATATACTGCAACACAAGTAAACAGTAATCAGGACACTATCCACTTCACTCACCCCTTGAAGTCCTGCAGCTCAATCCTGTCTCCCAGCACATTCAGAAACTCTGTGAAGGCTGGACTCTCCTCATTATTCCCAAAGAGTTCCTCCTCCGAAATCTGGGAGAGGGAAACAGCACCTTCAGTGGTATGAAGCATTAAAAGCTTACTGCACTAATGTCTCTGCCTGTGAGATTAGAGGATGCTGAACCGGGAGATAAGGACTCTTGACAAATTTGCTAAAGCATTCTCCCTGTTTACTGTTGAGTCTGAGACTCTCTAATCCCAAAACATGATCCATTTTTCCCCTCTATGAAAGCAGCTGAGCTAACCACAGGGCATCATCTCCAAGACACTCTGCCCTCATGACGCTAACAGCAGGCTCTAGGCTTTGAGCATCATCTGCTCCTGTGGAGACAGACTGGTGCTCTGTCCTATCAGATCCTTAAACCACAGGAACTGTGGCTTTGAAGGTGCTGAGTCACTGTTCGCTGTGATCAGACTTGCACTGTTTTCACCTTCAGATTTCTTCAATTTCCACTGGCCCTTCAGACCTGGGTCCTATTTCCTCTCTTCTTGACCCACTTACAGATGCAGCCATTCTAAATGCGCGAAATTATCTACGGTTTAGTGCGTTATACCGCAGTACGTGACTGGCTGGCCAAAATGACCGACAGGCGGGACTTGTGGTGCATCGGTTGCTAGTGAAACACTTGCTTCACTTAATCTCTTTACCGTGTATGTTTAAATCCACTTAAAATTGAATATAAATATGGAATTTGATAACTAAAGGGAAATTTTAGTAGCTGAGCAGAAAAAGAAGAGGAGCATAGCGTGTCTGAAGGTCATAAACGATATTCATTTTGGAATATAAACATATTATGTAAACTGTATATGGCTGGTATTGGTAGTTTAAAAAATACACCAATATTCCACTTTCTTTATAAACATTTTAAGCATCAAAGTCTTTTCTTCGGTTACATACTGTGGTTATTTTGGAAAAGTTTTACGTGCTCCTTCTGATTATATTAAGTTTATATACTTCATAAAAGGTTATAATGTTTTAATCTTTTCTATGAATACTTGTGCTCGTTATCGCAGTAACAAAAACGCATACTTTTTAGAATTTTATTAATAGGGAATATAATATGGAATCATGTATCTAAAGAAATTAGTAACGATATAATTATATTCATACAGTATGAAGCACTCTCCAGGTGTACCTGCCACCTTGCTGCTGTTATGACAGAGACAGTGAAGAGAAGCTGTCCCTTCCTAAATCTACCCCCAACTTGCCCCTCCCGCAAAATAACTGAACATCTGATTATCACGTACTTGTCCAAACTTCTGGTATATCACTCCAAACTTGAACGTGTTGTTCACCTCATGTTCATCATAGGTGACTATTAGCTGTGAGGCCTAGAAGAAAAATAATGTTGTCATAAGTGCAGCAGTCACAAGGCATTAGGAGAGAATCGAGCTGGACAGAGGGCACAGTATACCCTTCATGCTATCTTGAACATGCAGAATCAGCTTAAACCACTGCATCACTACTGCAGCAGCAAATTTAACAGGCAATTTAGATTGTGGAATTGTTTTATACATGCAAAAAGAGCTCGATTCATATTTTTTTAAATAGAGCTGCATTAGTGCACGAATGTAGTCGTCTCTCTGAGAATGAAAATTAAGCTCTCTGCACGGCACTGTGTCAGCTTTTATCCAGAATCCTGCGGACACGCTCATCGGCACTGCTGCCTCAGAAGCCCAGTCCCACACTCACTCTGGGGTATAGCACAGGGTTGAACTTCAGTCCAGTGACGTCATCGCACAGCAACTGCAAGGAAACAGCACAGGAAGACGTTTAGCCAGGACAATGGCACAGCAGCTGAGAAACTGGCGCTGCTGATCTCTGCTGGCCCCACTACAGCACGTTTCATCAACCTGCACACAGATCGGCCGCCCCGGCAGTGATCCCACAGCAAACCCGTCCAGACAAGAGGAGCCGGGCTGATGATCAGGGTGGGCAGCCAGAAAAGGAAAACTGTTCAGGACTGTTCAGGACAATCAGGTGTTTTTCCTACCTCTTAAATGTCACACTAAAAGTGCTGCTTGCCCTTGACGTCTGTTTTGACCCCAAAGGCCTATCAGGGGGCAAACAACAGAATCCAACAGGTAGGACCTGACTCTTACAGAGGCACCATGTGAATGGCACAGCACCCCAGCCTGGATCCTGGGGGCACCTTACTAATTGACTGGGGTTCAAAATCTGCCCCGAGGGAGCGGGGCTCCTCCCTGGCACCCCTCACTTGCCTTTGCGATCTGCGGGACGCTGGGCAGCTTGCTCAGCTCTGCCAGGGAGATCCTGTCATGCAGGGTTTTAGTCCTGGACCTGAGGAGAGAATGTTAAGAAAATACAGGTCAGTAACTCAGGATTCGGATCACCCCTGGTTTGGAAACACTGGAGGATTTACACCATCCATTACTGAACAGCTCTTCCAAGACCATTTTCACGATAACTGCAGCAGAGTTTATTCTGGTGATTAAGTACCCGACTAGAAAAGCAAACCTATATTCTAGTATCTATTACAGTGCTGTATGCAAATAAAAAGAATTTCAATGTATTTTGCGATTGCCAGCACCCAATATGCCAGCAGCCATATCACCGTGCAACTCACAACTGGCAGCCCACTGAAGCTAAGGAGGTGTGAGCCTGGTCAGTACCTGGATAGGAGAGCTCCTGGGAAAAACTAAGGTTGCTGCTGGAAGAGGTGTTAGTGGCACCAGCAGGGGGCGCTCACCCTGCGGTCCATGTGTGTCCTAATGCCCCAGTATAGTGACGGGGACACTATACTGTAAACAGGCGCTGTCCTTCAGATGAGACGTAAAACCGAGGTCCTGACTCTCTGTGGTCATTAAAAATTCCAGGGTGTTTCTTGAAAAGAGTAGGGGTGTTACCCCGGCGTCCTGGCCAAATTTTCCATTGGCCCTTACCAATCATGGCCTCCTAATAATCCCCCTCTATAAATTGGCTTCATCACTCTGCTCTCCTCCCCACTGAGAGCTGGTGTGTGGGGAGAGTACTGGTGCATCATCCAGGTGGGGCTGCACACTGGTGGTGGAGGGGAGTCCCCATTACTTCTAAAGCGCTTTGAGTGGAGTGTCCAGAAAAGTGCTATATAAGTGTGAGCAATTATTATTATTTCCTGGACACCCTTGTTGATACTTGGAACAGGATGGAAGGATCCTTAAAGAAAGATGTCTTAGTTCTGCGACAGCACCCTGATGCTCACCCTCCTGCTGAGGTCAGATACAGGGCCACGATCAGGGTTAGCGTTGCTACGGTCAGGGTTCGGTTCTGCCCGTACAGTTGCGGCCAGTGCACTGTGCTGACAGACTGGGCAGTACCTGAGGATGATGCGCAGGTACTCCTGGCCCTCTGCCTCCTCGTACTTCAGGGAGAGGATCAAGTTTCCCAGGCTGCTGCCCGTACAGTAGAAGTTTAGGTGCTCCTGCACAGACAGCAGGCGGGAGCAGTTAGATTACTGGCATTGGAACTCATGTTCATTCTTATTTAAACACAGCCTGTCGGCACGCTAGGAAGCCTAGAGTCCAATTCCAGCTTTAACATGGAAAAGAAGGTACGTATGTTCTTGTTTGAGCGTTCCTGTGCGATTCCAGAGGTTATGGAACCCAGACCCTGGATTCCATGACCACTGAGTGTTCAGGCCACATGTCCTCTCCGTGGTCTAGTGACCCTGAGACTCCAGTGGCTTGTGACAACCTGTGAGCTCTGCGACTCTTAGTACTTCTGTGAGTCAATACGGGTCGGACAGGACCTGCCACACACCCCTCACTGAGGAACGCACTGCTTTATACTGCTTTAAACTGAATTATACTGATGTTAGTAGTGGCAACAGCTGCTCTGCAAAGGCACTGACCCACACCAGCCACAGTTTAGACATTTCCCTATATGAAAGCCAGGAGTGGGAGTGGGGATGTGAAACAACGCTTGGCATGGGGCAACAGGACTCCAGGCTTCTAGGGGGGCTTTCAGGCCTTTTGGACCCCGGACCAAATCTTGGGACGATCTGGCCTAAGAAGGGGCGCTGGCTCTGTGGCTCAGGATCTGCGCCTGTGACTGGAAGGTTGCCGGTAATATCTCACGGCCGGCAGAGGAATCCTACTCCGTTGGGCACCTGAGCTAGGCCCTTCACCCCAACTGCTCCAGGGGCGCTGTACAATGGCTGACCCTGCGCTCTGACCCCAAGCTTCTCTCGCTGTCTGTGTGTCTCATGGAGAGCAAGCTGGGGTATGCGAAAAAGATGAATTCCTAATGCAAGAAATTGTATAGGGCCAATAAAGTGATCTGATCTTAGAAGCAGCTGGAGGCATGACTGACCCTGCCCAGGAAGTGCCTGCGGTAGGCCCGCACAGTGCCGTTGCACTCCAGCTTGTACCCAAAGGCCACCGGGCTCAGCCCCCCGTCGTCCTCCTCGTAGAAGCTGCTGTCCGAGGAGGTAGGGGTCCCCACGTTCTCTGCATCCTCGATCCAGTACCCCCCAAACTGGGGCAGGATCACCAGCGAGTATGGCCCCCCCTTCTGCAGGATCTGGAAGCACAAGAGGTCACAAGAGAGAGAGGGGTCAGGCCGGGGCTGTGCAGGGGGCAGGAACACTGGAGGAAAACGGGGCAACTGTTGTCTGCAACCCTAACCCTCCCCTGCATTTCTCTTCAATCGCCCTTTACGGATTTCTTTTCTCTTTCGTGGCAATACGTACAGCACAAATACACCCAAATGTACAGATGTCTTCCCACTAGCCCACACATCTTTACCGTTTCAAAGGTTAAACCTGAGATCTCGGAAGGAAGGAAACTACTGTGGCTCAGCTGTGCCTGAGCACACATCAGTCCTCTGGCTGTTTCACACGTTGGATCAAGTCCGGCGGGGTGGACAGATCACCCGGCCTGCTCCACGACACTCACCTCTTCAATCCGTGGGTAGGGGATGTAGTCATCCTGAAAGAGAGGAGAGAGGCTGCTTAGCACCAGTCTTGTGTGTGTGGCACAGAGCAGGACCGAGAGAACAGGTGGGATTTGGCTGATCACGGGCTGCTGAGGCAAGAGGCATTTCTCACATTCGACAACCTGAAGCAGAATTTGGCCAGAACTTTGGCGTGACACAAAAGGATAAAATCACTAAATGTCAAACACCATCGACTCCACCCAAGTTATTTGCAGAGACTGTACTCCCACACTGCCCTGCTACCGTTTTCAGTTTGACGTGTGGCGTTTTGTGCTTGGGTAACACGACTGGCCAAGCTCAGGGTGTCAGACTCTGTTAAATTAATTCAGTTTCCTGTCTCTCTCCGCTTCACCCTGCACCTTTCCTCTCTTGCCAGCCTGAGGACTCCATCCACTGTCTGTCCGCCTTCCCCTGGACAACCGAGGCTCTGTGCTGCTGCTTGGGGTTTCTCACAAAAGGAGAAGCTCTTTGCAGGCTGACAGCCTCCAGCCTCCTTGCATCAGAGAGCCCAAGAAGAGGCTGGCTTTCAATAAATACCTTAGCTGGCACTGCTGCACTGAAAGTCTGACTTACACAGCTCCTGGAGGAAGTAACACTTTGTAACCCTCACACAGGGCATCGAAATGTCAGAGTGTTCTACTGTACATTGTGTAATCTCTTTAAACCTCACAACAAGGGAGTTAACCCTTTCCAGAGGTCACCAGCTCTGGCAAGTCCCCTCCCAAGAACACAAAGGACACTCACGCCCAGAGCTGTCAGAAAGCAATCATTTCCAGTCACCAGTTACCAAAACCACAACACTGTTGCACAAGTCCAGAAGAAGAAGAAGGAAAGAGCTGTCTAGCGTCAGGGTAGCTTTCTTCTTCTCCTTCAGCATGCTGCTAGTTATTGATGAATGATTTCCACAATGTAATGGCAAAAATACCAAAATCCCCAACAGTTGCACAGCACAAATACCCACAATAGAAAGTTTACCATGGTAACTGATAGTGAACACAGGCCTGCCCTGCACATTTTGAGCACCAGGCAGCGATGTGCTTGGACTCACATGCTTGCTTGTCCATGTTATAACCAGAGATTTACCATCGCCAGCTGTTTCCGGGGAGCACAGCACTGCGCAATACAGACCGCTGACCTACAGTAAGTGCCTCTTCAGTGCTGTGTGAGCCTTTGCTTCTGTCGCTAGGAAAGAGTTGCTGGCCAGCAGCCACCAGCATTTCAGCACCCATTCCCACCCTGACTGAGACTGGGGGCTGAGAAAGTCACCTTCATATTTACAATTTAAATATACTTTAGGCCCTCAAAGAAAGGAATTGAACAGATTACAATAGATCACCATTATCTCATTATCATTAAGCTATAGGTTTAAGAAGAAATTTACTAAAGCATTACCTTGCCACATTTTTATACCTCAAATTCACTGCATGTGTGGAAGCATTTAAAGACAAACAATGAATGCCCCCACTGCAGACGTAAACACGTCAGATTCTTATGCAACCTAGAATACAAAAGTGTGTTGGCACCGGTGCTACAGCCTGGGGGCACAAAATTGTTTTAATCCTGTATCCAACTGGCTTCCTATTTAATGCTTTGGTGACTTTCTTGCATAATTGTTCAAATGCATAATGAAATATGTTTGAGCCGACTAGAAAGTACAGCCCATTATAACAAGCGTGATGAAGACATGCCTCTGTACATGTAATGGCTTCCTCACATGCGTGCACTGGCTTACCAGCCTTTCTGCAGCTCAGGAGCCTGAGTCTGATGAAGAGAGACTTAGAACACCAAGTTAAGGCAAATGCTTCGACAAGCAAGCAGATAAAATCTGATTCCCGGAGATTTCACTAAGGAAAATGGATCCTTGATGGACACTAATTGAAATTAATTCCAGAGGCACTTACTGTCATTCCCACTCCCACTCCAAAGGATGAGGACACATCAGCCACAAACACGTCACCAACACAAGGCGTGAACACAAAACCCCACAAAACAAAAGAAGATGGCAGAGACTGCAGGGATCTGAACGCAGGACAACACCCCTGTCCTAAGGGTTCCCATGAAAAAGACCTGCAGGACTGAGGCCAAGCTTCTGGGATACTTGGATCATCCCGCAGGCCTTCTTTACTAGGATACTCCCTGCAGTCTATGAGGGTTTGTGTGGGGGCTGGCAGTGAGGTCTGGGTGCGTGTCAGGAGAGAGGAATGTGGGGAGCAGGGGGTGTGTGTCTGGACGGGGGGAAGTGGGGAGCAGAGGGTGAGGGGGGGGCTGATGAAAATCCACACAACACCAGCAGCAGCAGTAAGGCTGACCTTGTTTTTCTGGGTCCCTGATTTCTGCTCCTCCGTTTTTGGGACCTATATCCAGAAACAGAGCGAGACGTTCATACTACGGCCACGACACGTCGGCTTCCTGTGTGTGAAGAGGCAGGAGCCCCTGGAATCGGCATCGAACCCCGCAGCCCGAAGCGGCACAGGAAGGACTCGAACCCAGGGCCCCTTGGGCACGGGCGCTGGGCTCTACCCACAGCCCCGCTGATCAGGGCTGCCGGAAAAGAGGGCTAGACAATATTCCCCTGCACGTCCCCTGGAGGAATTCAAGGCTCTCTGCGGCATCTGATAAGATACAAAAGATCCGTCCGCTCTCCCAGGAAAAGAATCTCGGCCGCCTGCTGCCTCACCCCAGGCGTCAGGGGAGAGGAGGAGCGTGTCTTTCTGTAAAAACGCGCGCCCGGAGAAGACAGGAGACGGAGAGCGTGGGCAGCCCGGTCTTGCCTCAGTTCACTCCTGGAGCTCATTCTGCACCACAGACCACAGGCAGGCAGGCCGCGTGAGGGCAGGGTACCGGTGGCAACACGCAGCCCACATGCCACACGGTTTCCGTGTGCAGCACCCAGCTTGAGCCCGTGTGCAACCCACGACTGACTGCCCACTCGTACCCACGGGCATCCCCTGGGGGCAGAGCGGCATTAAGGGTATATAGAAATAACAGTCCGCACACACAGAGAGCAAGCCAGGCCTGCAGCCAGCTCGGACACTGGGACTGACGTTTATATCACTGCTTAATAACTGAATGAGGCAGGTACACACACCTGCGCTGTGGTACACTGCGGTAAAGACACAGTGAAACCCCAGCGAAGCAGGGAGGGGCTTGATCCTTGGAAATGCAGAGGAAGGAAAGACAATGCAGGAACACAGGAAAAACAGGAAACAAGCAAGCGGCTCTACGTGGGCAAACCTTCTGAAGGGCTGAGTCAACATAGAGACAGGACAGCTCGGGCAGCCAGATGACTGTCACCAAGACTGAACGACAATACGACTGAACGGATACGTCTGAGGAGCGTCTATCTCTGCCAAACACAATGCAAAACAAGATCAGCCTGTCTAGAGACCACAAACCGCCAATATTAATATTTCATTTTACAGTGTACGGAGACCACCCTAGGTACCGTACATCCCTACAGCCGAGAAGTTTTTGACAAGGCACTGCCAAAATTCTGTACTAATCCACGTCACTCTGACTAATGTGACACTAGTCAATTAGGCTTTAGTGACTTTAATGTGGAGTTTTTTCATTTGAAATGTGACAGAGCACAAATGTATTTATTTTTTTCTATTTCGACAGCCCAGCATAAGGTTTTCTGGCTCTATGTTACTGACTGGAGGCCACTGCTTAGGTTCCAAACTGTTTGGGTTTCTCGGTGTGCTCATTTCCTTAAGTGGCTCAATTTAATAAGGCAACACTCGGGCTCACCTGCATCCTCTCCAGCATGTCGAAGAACTCGGCCGACTGCAACAGCAAAAAGACAGGAGAGACGGAGTTAGTGCACTAGTCTCACTACTGCTCAATACAGCCTGCAAATCTGTAGCACTTCTTGGACCCATCACAGGCACTCTGCAAATATAACAATTCATTTAACACACCCTGACGCAAATGGTTTAGGATTTAATTGAACAGATTCAATTGTATCAGCATTCTACTACCACAGTCTTAACTTATGTGAGAGACTGCAATGTGTACAGATGCTGTTACAGTCAGTGTATCATAGCAGAGCACTGTCCCAATAAGGTACAACATTTAGGGTCCTTAAACAACCTGCTGACGATCTGCAGAAGCTCTATGTGCATCCTCAACAGAGCTACAGTCAACATAATAATAATAATAATAATAATAATAATAATAATAATAATAATAATAATAATAATAATAATAATAAACTTGATTTTATATAGTGCCTTTAAAGGTGGCTTCTCAAAGCACTTTACAGAATGTCAACAACAATAAATAAAAAGAATACATAAGATAAAACAATTACAATAATTACAATATACAGAGGAGACTGAGGATGGTGGTACTAAGAAAAGCAGAGGGGTGAAGAATGGAACAGTTAAGTAAAGGATTTTCTAAAGAAGAAGGTTTTGAGTCTGGATTTTAATGAGTTTAGAGAAGGTGACTCTCTGATATCCTTGGGCAGTGAGTTCCAGAGCTTGGGGGCATAACAGGAGAAGGCCCTGTCACCCATACAATGTAGACGGGCTTGGGGGACAGTAAGGAGACCAGAATTTGAAGAGCAAAGGTTGCGAGGTGGGGAGTAGGGAGATAATATTTGAGACAGGTATTGAGGTGCCAAGCCATACAGAGCCTTATAGGTGAGCATGAGGATTTTAAAGTCAACACAGAATTTGACAGGAAGCCAGTGCAAGGACTCCAGGATAGGAGTAACGTGATCACTTGCACTGGACCTGGTCAGGTTTCTGGCTGCTGAATTTTGGACATACTGCAGTTTGTTCAAAGTAGATTTAGATTCCCCAGCGAGCAGAGCATTACAGTAGTACATGAAGCAGTTCTTTAAAAATGCAGCTCAGCACTCACACTACACAGACACATCATCCTATCATCCTTCAGACTAAGGTTTTTAAGTGAACTGAGAAAATTGTATTTTCTTCAGACAAGTATTTGAATACTACATGTCCAAGGCCCAGATCGTAAGATTGTTTTACAATCCTAATGCATTTTTATGCTTTGAGGCCCCTCCATCGAAGACTCCACACAAGAGGCAGTTATTACAAATGAGACAGCATTTCCATTAGTTCTTCATTCGAACCCAATCAATTCCCATTACCTAAACGAACCCAGGACTGGCCCCGGGGCACATCAATGAGAGCCCATTAGAGCCTGGCAAGTGCGATCAATGCGGCTCACAGCTAAGCTCAAGTTCTGGAGTAGGTTAACCCTCCCTCTGCTAGCTGTTTTCTAACCTTCAGACATCCAGTGATCTTCCTTATGCCCAGATGGGGGTCCTTTCTGACACTGTGCTCTGACGAACACTTTAAAACAATCATAATATAAAAGAAACGACAGCAGTACGGTAAAAATACAGTAGCTAATGTAAGTATTTAGCAAACAAAGTTTACTTTTAAGTGTTAATTATTACCACAGAGATGGTAATGGTAACAATCCTGATCAGACTACACCAGGGGAGCCCAACTGCAGTCCTCAGGAGCTCCAGTCCAGCAGAGTTTCTGCATCTCTTTAAATCTCCAGCTTCTGAAGAACAAGGAAAGGTTTCAGCTTCTCCAATTAAGTCAATAATGAGTTCAATAAGGATAATTAACTGCTCAGGTGGAAGGAACATCAGAAACCTTCTGGCCCTCCAGCCCCCTACAGCAAATTGTAACTGAATTTTGTTCATTCCACCCTGAGCACGTGACTGCCTGAGCTAATTATTCACTGGATTAAAACCAAAGACGCTCATTTTTCTACAGAGAGTTACGAGGGCCTGGAACTGCTTCAGATTTGGGTTTAGTTCCCCTGCTAGAGATATTAATCACAACAGCACAGTCAGCAGCTACGATGTCATTTCTGATCACTTCTGGTAATCTGAACGCAAAGCACAATTTTCGGAAAGCAGACACATGCCAGACACTCAGCTTCCGACACCAGCAGGCTCCCTGACCAGCTCAGCAAAGACAGAGAGGGTGGAGACCTCGAAAAATTAAAATTCTGCAATGATGACACAAGTTCAACGGAAAACTTCACAACTCAAAGCACAGTGCTGCTTTGTGCAACACAAAGAGCACGGCCACTGCCTAGCTCTTTTTTTTTAAAACAAAATTATGTCTGAGCCACACACTTACTTAATTTGGTCTTTTTTGACTTGGTGAACCCAGTACTAGAGGGTTGAATATGCTGTCATGACTCACTCTATCCTAATCAGTTAGGAACCTTAGGAAAACTCTTACCATTATGCTCAGAAAACAGACTCCGTTATGGCACTGAAGAAAATAAAGTTCAGAAATCAGGGAACGAATGTTGTTTTTTATTTTCCAGAGGGAAAGCTGTTCAGTGTAGTATTAACTGTGTGTGCGTATCTGAGAGCGCAGTTAAGGTTACTTGAATACGCTCTTTCTTTCTCCTGGTAGTATAGCAGGTGTTTTCATTATGTTAATATTTAATCTGCCTGCAAGCTCCGTGAACATGTTCAGCAGGCAATACAGGCAGCAGGATTCACAGCGGGGCTGACTGAACTGCTCTGTGCGCACCACTGCACACCCACTTCTTACTGTGTCCTCCAATAACACAGCAGCTCATAGCCAAGGATCCTGCACATTTCATGCTGGGAGTCAGAGATTTCTATGGAGTGGAAACAGCAGGAGACATCTTATCTGGGTCTCCGGGTCTCTGGTTACATTCGCTAATGTGCTGCAAGGCTCCCAAACTAAGAAAAATACATCTAAATCAAAATACTTTAAAAGGGAGACTGGCACTTAGCTGTATCTACATATAGGGATTATTTCTAAACTGCCTGGAAAGAAGAACATCACTATTTCCTTAAGATCAATTACAGCCCATGATCTTCAAGCCAGTCCTCAGTCCCCAGTCCTCTGTCCTGTTTTGTTTAAGACCTCTGCATGTGGCTTCCCCTGGACTCACAGAACACAGGCTGGGCAGCTGGTGATTTCTCACCAGCAGCACATCACTGGAGATATTTTAAGTGCAACGTCATGACGCACACAAACATTCAGATTTGAAGTAAGAAGAACAAGACGATCAACTTATCAAGAAAATGCCATTTAGATCCACTTAAGGCAGAGGCCGCCCAGAGCGAGCGCCAGTGTGTGTACCAATTCCTCTAACACTCCACTAGGCGGTTCTGGATCGACCCAACCCATCCAGCTCCCTAGATCTGGACTGATGAAGATCTCGTGGTCGAGCTAATCATAGTGGGCCTCTCTGCTTCTCACAACCAGACAGCTGCTGTGAGCTTCCCCACTGCTCTCAGTCCAGCCACACAAGCAGACAAAATGAGCACAACTGTGCCTTTAAATGTGCTACAGAGGAACAGTCACAAGTCCAGGCTTTCAAAAACCTTACAGATTACTCAGCCTATTTATATATAGCCTTCTTGTCTTTCTTAACAATGAGCTTAGTACGGAACAGCAGGTCTAGCAAGAAAAGAATGACTGTGCTCTCAGCGGGTTAAGCCTTGCCCTCCCTTGCATTCTGTAGCACGAAGACCTGAAGACCTGCACAGTGTGCAACAGCATGTTACAGACCAGGTACAAACATCTGTGCAACACCCAGGGTTGACAGGAGAGAAGGCAGCCCATTCGTATGGGATTTGATGCTGAGCAGCTAGCCTGCACTACCGATGAATGCAATCAAGTTTTTTTTTCTGGAATTCTAGAAAGAAAAAAAAAAGACTACAAGACAGTAACACATCAATGTTCATACTGACTTCAACACCCAGAGAGGCGCCCCGATCTCTTCCCTGGACTGCAGCGGCTCAGTTTCCTCCTTGAGAGAGGAGGGGTGGTCTTTCACCAGACTGGACTGGTTCCGGCCCCTGACCCAGCTCCCTGCCTCAGAGCTCCCAGCTGCCTCCTGCTCCAGCCAATCTTCTCACCTCTGACACGAACAGGCAGGAAGTGCCCCTTGGCTGGGGCACTCCGGCACCAGGAACAGGTCCTGCAGGTTCAGCTGCTGTCGCACTGGCTGTGTGTGGGAGCGCACATGTGTGTGCGAGTGCACGCGTGTGTGTGCAAGCTTCTGAGCCTCTCCCTTAGCCTTTTGACTTCATCCTGTCTTTCTTTCAAAGAAACGTCTCTTGCGGTTCGGCCCCACTGATGTCAGCGATTCTGGGAGGAGCTGCCTTAGGCTTGAAGAACAAGTGGTGCTTGACAGTTACTTACCAGTACACATACTGTATATACTTATAAATCTCATTTTGATAGGCAAGAAAGTCTAAAAATAGACTGATAACACCATGTGAGTCATGCAGCGGTAACGTTTCACAGCACTCTGACAGAGAGGTGTCAAATGAGGAAATGGATTCTCAGTGCGGGGAAGAGAAATGATCACAACAGAAATGCAGTATTAGAGTTATACACCCTCCCTGTCCAGGGCTGTGTTTTATTTATGTGAACCTGGAAGGGACAGTTATTCTGTTTTAATGCTCCATCCTCTCAATCAGATCTGGAATTGCAGGCATTCGGGCAACATAATAAGTTCATGTTCTTATGTTCTAAGCCTCTTACCACCAACTGTACCTGGACAGACACGGCTCTCCATAATCACACTGCAAGCCTCACAGCACCTACAGTGCAGCTGGGTACGCCTGTGAGCAGAGGACACAACAGCTCTCCATAATCACACTG